TTCAAAATTCTGGGCTACATAAAAATCGCTGGCCCGCAATAGTGTCTATTGGATACATTTTGACCCTTCGACAAATGTAGTTGGTGATCCCTGACCTAAACCAATCTACTGATCATTATGGTTAACGCAAAATGGTTTATTTTTTCTTCAATTTGTTTGTAGTTTATTACATATAGAAGTATATGTACTGTAGCGAACAGTCACTTTGAGACTTAGTTTCACTTAGACTCACTCTGACGCATTTCAAGTAGAAAAGTCTGTACTGAAGTTCTAATTACGATGTTGAAAAGAAACAAACAATAACTTAAAGAGGAAAATGTCAGAGCCAGCTCGCCCTCTGTCATACAAATTCCCGGACAACAACAGGTGGACTAAATATCCATAAACCACACCAATGTGACAATGTGAAGTTCTTTTAAATACAAATGTGTCCAATCTAAAATAATAACAATAATGGAAATAATTAACTCTGGCTAATTGAGCATTTTGGCTCCTTGCCGTCCCTATTTTCTGAGATCAAGTTAAACGTGATGTTGATTTTCCCAGACATGAAGGGACCCGAGTGCGAGAACCCCCCGACCGGTGAGACAGAGGATGAAGAGGAGGAGGAGGAGCAAGACGAGTCGTCTAGGAGAGAGGCGGGGGGGCTAGAGCAGGCCCCGACCCCCCTGTCACACGTCCCAACCTCAGAGTTCTCCATGGGGCCCCAGAGCTCCCCAGGGGAGGGAGGGAGTCCCCTGGAGGGCCACACCCACAGGCCCGTTGCAGGTGGGTAAGGGAAAGGAATGGTCACTGGACTGCATTTAAATGCTCTAAAACCTAAATGAAATTCACAGGTTCAGTTTTATCCCACTCCTCAAACCTCCACCCCTAAGTGTCTCACTCGTTGAGCTCCATTTTCCATCTGTTTCAGGGGAACAAAGATCTGGAATGACTTTCTATCATAACAAAAAACTGTCCCTCGCTGCATGCTTTGAAAACAAATCATTTAAATACAAATTTGAAGTATCTGTTGTTCTTAAAGTTTGCCATTTTTATTGAATATAAATAAGCATTGCTTGTATATTGAGCTTGTTATGAAATTATGATTTCTAACATTGTTTAGTTTTTTTTCTCTTCAAAACCGTTTGCAAAACCATTAAATGAAAAATAAAATAATGCTTTTCAAGACTAGCAAGCATTACCCATTCACATATTCACACAGTGGGATTCCAGCTGCTAAACATTCACACGCTCACTCGCAATTAGGAGCAATTTAGGGTTCAATATCTTGCCCAAGCACACTATAAGTGCGTCCCTAATGATGGTCATGATTGCAAAAACAAGACTCCAAAGAAAGATCACAAAGCATTGGTTATTGTTAGCCATCGGGTCAGTGTTCCTGTATCAGCTGTTGGCCTCAAAGGTGCACTAAGGCTCCTTTTGATCTAATATTCTCTACCCCCCACCCCCCCCCCACCACTCCTAGCACCATTTTGGAACATGCTCTTTATGCTGTTCACTCGCATAGAGAGAGATTATATGATCCTTACACTGTTTGATCATTTGAGGGAAGCTTCTTAGCTAAATGGCAGCTCAAATATTAATATCCAGTGAAGAAATGTTACCCTGTGGATTTAACTTAAAAAGACATGATGGTGCTGCTGAACATATGTAAGTGATAATGTGCAACGAGGCGGTCATTATTGAAAAAAGAACACCTGACAGGGTGATTACGGAGCACGATGCGTATTGCTTCCGCTATGAAAGTAGCTCAGCGTCTGGAACTGTGACAACAACAACGTAACTTAAAATGATTGCAACAGATCAAATGTGTCTGTAACTGTCCAATCAGTTCACAGTTTCTGAGCTAACAAGTCCTAGACAATGCCAGAGCCAATACTGTGCTCCTGTTAGTGTTTACTTCCTGTCTGTCTTCTTCTGTTGATTTATCTGATGTCCAACGCTCCGTCTTTTTGTCTCTTTCCTTCTCTCCCTTGATCCTCCTTAACAACGGTCATTATTTTGCATAGCAGCGGTGTATTATCGAGTATTGGCCAACCAGAATTTAGTATTTTAATAATAGTTAGTTCAGAGTTTAAGGTGTTTTAATATTTGATGTAATACAAGTATTTGTTTGTGTTTTCAGGCCAGCAGTTCCCCGGCCAAACCTTCATCTGCTCTCTGTGTGGAACCTTCTGCCCGGATGCTTTGTTCCTGGAGGAACACGTCAAACTGATACACGCAGACGCTTCCGGTGCTCAGGCTCTCCAGGCTCTGCAGTCCACCTGCTCCGCAGCACCCGACATGGGGGAGGGTGGCGACGACTCTAGGGGGGGCGGAGAGGGGCAGAATGAGGACGGTGAAGGAGAGGGAGAGGGGGCCGACGCTGGGCCGGGAGGGGGCCCCGTGAAGAAGGAGATCAAAATCGACGGCGGGTACGAGTGCGGGGACTGTGGGCGCCACTTCAACTACCTGGGCAACCTGCGGCAGCACCAGAGGATCCACACCGGGGAGAAGCCCTTCATGTGTCCCGAGTGCGGGGAGAGGTTCAGACACGCGGCGCGCTTAAAGAGCCACAGACTGGTGCACAGTGGGGCCCAGAGCCCCTTCCCCTGCCCCCAGTGCGGGAAGGGGTTCTCCGTGCTGTCCGGGCTGAAGAGGCACCAGAGGGTCCACACCGGGGAGAGCCCCTACGCCTGCCCTCAGTGCGGCCGGCGCTTCAAGGAGCTGGGGAACCTGTACACCCACCAGAGGATCCACAGCGGGGCCACGCCCTACTGCTGCCAGCAGTGTGGGCGGAGCTTCAGACACCTGGGGACCTACAAGAGCCACCGCTGCACCCCCCCGCAGTGAACCTATCCCGATGCTGAGGAACATTTGTAAGAGAAAGGAAATGGGGCTGACTCAGAGGCGAGGGACACTGCTGGTGACACTGAAGGAGGCGCAGGTCAAGTGGAGAACGGGTTGGTGTCCTGAGATGACCCCCATGTTCGGTCATCCTCGTGACATTTCACACTGAATCAGGAATTAAGAAAAGAGGCGTCATTGAGCTAGGTTTGACCTTGGAAGCGAAGGTTTGAGGAAACAATGTCAACTCCACGGCACTCCTTATCAGCAGAGGGAGTTTCCACGGAACTGTAGGCGTTCAAACTTTCAGTTTTATCAGAGGACTTGTTTTTTATGTAAGCATAAAGTCAGCAGGTTTATTATTGACATAAGAAACGTTTGAGAGGAGAGAAACACTTAGATTTCCATGGTGGAGACAACTCAGTCATTCTGAGCTCAGGTTGTTCTTAAAGCTGCATCAGAGGCCATAAGCATTGTTTTAGCCCATTGATCTGTGAAACGTTACCCAAGATGTCATTATCCTTAATTATCTTTTAACCATTTTCTCAAGCATATTTCAGCTGGCTTGACATAGGTAATCAGTTTAATTAAAAAGCAGAGGGGGCAAATCGGTTCAACATTGTACCCAGGTTTCCATCCCATTGTATCACACATTGTAAGAAAATCATGAAAAAATGCCAATTAACGCTTGTTACCATCATCCACTACGTGCCAAAAAAGGCCAACTATTTCAACTTAGCGAGGCCCTTTTTTGCTTCGTTTTGAGTTTCTTTTTGTTCAGAATTTTCAGCATTTGTACTCATGTTATCATTTGTATTTCCAACACAACCACCAAATGTGGAAGATGTAGATTTAAAGGGCTCATCAACTCTAAACTGAGGTTTTCAGGTGGTATAAATGAATGGAAACATGATAATGAATATTATATTCAATTTCTGCGAACATATTCCCTTAAATCCCACACTCTAGGGCTGCAGTCGAATAGTCAAAAAATCAGCTCCTAACGTCTAACCCTATTGTCTATTCCTTGACCTCGGAGTGAAACTTCACAGGGTTAAGGGACAGTGGATAGGAGAATTCAAAAGGACTTAGGAGAAGAGACTGCGGTACCTTAGAGAATCCGACTGCACTTTCACTATCCGACGTGTTTATTATGCGCCAGCGGACGTCATGAATGTGCGTCTGCTGCTGTGGGGAAACTACAGTTTTCTATACAGCGGACTACAACATGGATGTATAATAAGAACGAGGGAATACTGTATAAACTCATCTAGAGACTCTGCACCGTGCTCTGATGCTGTTGCTTTATGCTTTATGAACGTGGACAACAGAGAAACATATTCTTCATGACCAAAGTTGGAATTGAAATAAAAAAGGAAAGTGAAACTTATGCTTGTCACCCTCTCCCTCCGGTCCACATGAATACAAATGATCCCGATACGTATGATTGTATGAAAATATCTTAAAATCAATATAAATGTATTTATTATAAACTTGTTAGTCCTTAACATCTATCACTGTGTATATCACCGTTCAAACATCTTTTAAAAGTTGAACAAACCCCACACAGCTCAGTAAACACTGTGAAATGTTGACTTTATTTGATAATTTCAGTAAAAGCTAACATTCATATTTCTCTTTTTGATTATAATACTGATGAACGTTCAGAACAAAGCACTTTGGCAACTTACCACATACGTTTTAAAAAGCTTAATAAGCACCGTAACTTTCATGATATCATTTCTCGGTCATAATCGGTTGTTTCCGTGAACGGCCGACTGTTGTGTGATGGCAAATGCTGCGGCTNGACAGGTACACACACACACACACACACACACACACACACACACACACACACACACACACACACACACACACACACACACACACACACACACACACACACACACACACACATACACATACACATACACACATACACACACACATTGATGGTGTGTTTTATTTGATTTTCTGTCTCTCTGCAGGTCCTGCAGTTGTTCCTTCTCAGCCTCCAGTACCATGTCAGCTCTGTATCCTTTACTACAAGTACATTTACTCAAGTACTACTTAAAGGGGACCTATCATGCAAAATGCACTTTTGTAAGTCTTTTATACATGAATATGTGTCCCCGGTGTTCCAGGAAAATACAACCCTCTCTCTTTTCCTCCATACCCAAATCTCTAAAAACAGGGCTGCAACGGATTTGATACATGTGGATTCTGATTTGCACCTCTGATGTCACAGAGGTGCACTCCGCCTGTCTGGTCAACTCTCCACCTATCAGGGGAATGAGAGGTTGCCGTGGCATGGCAACATCATAGTAACATGACGCTTGTGCCTCGCCCTCTCCTTTGCAGGGGGGGGGTCAGCTCCAGCTCATGCAAAGACAGAGCTGGAGTGAGGCAAAATGAGGCATGGCTAAAATGCATGATCTGTTTGGTATTTTGAAAAAGAAAACTTATAAATATACCTTATATAGGTATGGCCCTACAATATATTATTCAAATATAGCATGATAGGTCCCCTTTAAGTTTAGTCCTGTCATATTATGTTCCTATGCTACAATCATGGTACAATTCACAATATTTATAAAATATTTGTAAGAACAAAAAAAGGCTCAAATTCATCTTTAGCCTTTTTTTTTTTATCCTGTTTTCTTTTTCTGGCAAATAATGTTTAGAAATAGGAATGTATGGAGATAGTCTCTAATGTGTACAAAATAAACATGCACACACTAACAATGGAAAAGCAACCAGACAAGATGATAATCAATACACAAGACTTTCCATGTGTATATTACATTGTTTACATATCACAATATTCTTACATTTGAGGATGTATAATCCAAAAAAGTTGAAGCACTCCTGCCTTTTAAAATGTATTTGAATTATTTTTAATTGATTTATCTAATCTTTTATTAACCCCAATTGTGTAAAAAGGCAGAAAGCTTAACAAATATAATAACCTACAAGCAATGGGAGCTTTACGCACAAACACTTGTTTGAGTTTGCATTAAAAAGTCCATAAAAGCTAGTTAGAAAAAGGCAATTCAACCTATGTTTGCCACCCAAAGTAAATAAGATTATAAACTTGAATGAAACAATTCCATGATATGCACTCTCTCTGGGTATACATGGTTATTTTTCTTCTGTGCTGGAGTATCTTTTGTTGTGTATGCATTGGAAGTCATGGCTGCAGAGAAAAGTCATACCCTGCAGTGGCACCACGATGGAAAGAAGGATGCATGATTCGACCAGTTAAGGTTTGTTTGACTCATCGGTAGGCATGTTATTTTTCGCCCTCTGCATGCTTGTTCATTCCATACAAATACAGCTGAAAGAAAAGGGCTGGTCTGAGAGTTCCGCGGCATTGTGGGTTAAAAACAGGTAGTCAATGATTTAACAGGCTCAGCTGGTTCATTATCAGGTTGTGTTTTGAATGTCGTTAACCGTTGACCTGCATTTATCGCACAGAGACAGTTGCTGTACATCAGGCATAACCTCAAATCTACAGTAACTTATTTGAAGACAAAATTATGTGACATTTAAATGCAACTGTCAATGTTGGAGGTTAATTAAACATGACATGACGAAACAATGACAGTTAGTTCAAAGGTTATGTGAGGCTCTCAGGCACGTCATGACTTGCTAATCGAGTCGTTTCCCCTTTCCCCAACTGTGCGTGTGAATTGTGAAAATGTGTATTTCTGCAGCGAAACTGGGGTGACCCAGAGCCTTATAATAGGATCTATCTCTAGAATTCTATCTGTACGGCGCTGGGGTTACCATACTTGGTAAGGGCGTTCCTCGCTACGCTATCTACGTAACCCTTACGTCACGTCCGGTTCCTTCTTTTTCATCCTGTCTCTCAACATGGCGCCGGTAAGTCTTGGCTGTTGGTGCTGAACTTGCTTTTTAATGACGTGTTCTTAGCATTTTCCCACTTATTCTGGTCATAATATATTGAAACACAGTACAGCTTTAAGACTACACCCATTTTTTAAACAGTCAGTTGTTATATAGTGAAGGAATCCAATGAACTAGCTGAGCTAGCATTAGCTCGTAGTAATCTTGACGTTTTCTGACACGTGTTCCTTTCATTAGTCAATGACAGGAAGCCATTCTCCATAGAATAAATTTTGTTTTATTTAATATCCGTGGTTTTAGAACACTTTACTGGCGTTTGTTCAGTATATATGTAGTATAGGGTTCATTAGTCAGTTCGGCATAACTTTCATATTTGCAATGTTTCTCATATATACAAAAAGTAGAAATTAAATGTATCAAGAGTTTTATAATCCTATATTTCCATAATAAATTACATTTTCTGTATAATGGGCTGATTGCTTGAAAGTATTAATTATGTTTTTAGAAGTTGTGTAATTTTTTTTAGATATGGATTTATCCAGGCAAAAAAAATCCATCGACAGATTCCAAAGGGACTTCTGCCTGATGTACCTGTCAATTCTGCTTGTTAAAAATAACCAAGAAAGAAATGGGCTTTAATGAATTTGTCTGCAAATACCTTTTTATATGGCTTACTGAGTTATATATTTGAATTTTTTATATATTAATTAACAGTGTCTGTTACGAGTAGCTATTTAAATAAAATATTTTTATTTGAGATTAAAAAGTTTGCTAGCTAGACTATAAATTAACTTTAAATTACAAAATACTGAAATGAGAGAGATTATAGGAGGACTAAAAATATATATCAGTCCGATATGTGCTGCTGCTAACACATTAAGTTTCTTAATGTTGCTGCTTTTTTTATTTACTTCTCACAGCTCAAACAGAAGAGACCTACTGCTGGCAGGAAGACCAAAAAGGGAGCTTCATGGAAGTTCACCTTGGACCTGACCCACCCTGTGGAGGATGGGATCCTGGACTCTGCAAACTTTGTAAGTCCAACCGCACTTTCTACACTCTTTAACAGAACATTCCTCTTGCATATTGATACAATGAGATCATAAAAGTGTTAGTAGAGTGATGTTTGCACGCAGTTAACAATGTGTCTGGACTAGGGCTGCCTTCCCTAGCGCCGCATATACTAGGGTTCTCTTCCCTAGTGCGTCAATGTGTTCTATCCAACAGGAAATCTTCCTTAAAGAGAGGATAAAGGTCAATGGAAAGACGGGGAACCTGGGCAACACAGTGCAGGTCGGCCGCATGAAGAACAAGATCAACGTCACGTCCGAGAAGCAGTTCTCCAAAAGGTGAGATGAGGATTAATTAGGCTTGTTTTACTGAACAGAATAAGTTACCTTCATTTAAAAAGTAAAATAAGCCGTAATTGGTTTTAAAATATCTTGAATAAATATGATGAAAGCCTTAAAAATCTGTTGCATTAATAAATCACAAGATGTTTGATAGTTTTTTTTAATTATGACTCATACCAAATGCATCTCTCACAGGTCAATATTTTTTTCTATATCTTCTAACTTTTTCACTGGATCAAAAAGGTCCCATTTTAAGTCAGTTAAGATTTTTTTCATTGGTTTAACATTTAATTCCGACTGCCTTTTTAAAAAGTAAATCTAACTTTCCTAAAGCTGTAGTAACCCTGTTGCATGTGTACACAGTTTTACCATTAATGAGACTTTTAATTTAATTAATAATAAAACAATTCCATTACTAATTGACCCATCCTCTCCCCCACCAGGTATCTTAAGTACCTGACAAAGAAGTACCTGAAGAAGAACAACCTCCGTGATTGGCTGAGAGTCGTGGCCTCCGATAAAGAGACATACGAACTGCGCTACTTCCAGATCAGTCAGGACGACGAGGAGGAGTCAGAGGCAGACGAGTAAATGATTCTGTCAGGAGAATAAACGAGGAAAAATAACTGTTATTGTCCTGTTTTTATTTTTCAAATATTGTCTTCGCTACAAACCATAAATGCATTACAGGTCTCTTTTTATTTTTGCATGTACATTTTTGCTTAACTCTGAGCAGTTTTATCCACTCTTTTGCATATTAATAAGGGTAGTCTTGGATAAATGTCTCCTGTGAAACTGATGCACCACCATGTACTTGAAAATGGTCATGTAGCAGTTCTCTCAATACACACTAGGTGATGCTACAGATACTTTTGCATACACCTTCATACCCAGAAATAAGAGACTGCTGCAGGCACAGTTGGTGTATTAAAGTCACGTTAAGACAAGATAAACACTAGAATCAAAGCATTTTATTTACTAAAAGCTGACTGTTCTTTGTTTGACAATCTCAATGTCTAATATCCATTACACAAATAAAAGCATCTGAATCTCACATTTGAGGTTGCTACTCCAAAACAAAAAAGGAGCGGATTAAACTAAATATTTCAACATATTTTTTCTGGGTTTGACAAGTTTGTAGTTGTTCCAATTTAATTTTACAATACAATGATGGATATGTATCTTGTAATATCACTGAAATCCTAAGTATGTTTTATAATTACAAAAGGCTAACGTTAGTCTTCCTCTGCATCTTCCTCTATCTCCACATGTCCCTTTATGAATTGCGTCAGGCTGCAAAGAAAACCTTTACTCCCTTAAACAGGAAAGGATGTTTTGCTATATGTGTGAGTGTCTGGATTCACTCCCATTCGCTCATCTGTTGTGTATAAAGCACGCAGCCTCAGGAATGCTTCCACCTTCAGCTGCTGGCGTCTCAAATCTTCATATCAAGAGTTTCAGTTATTGGATTTTATATCATGCAGACGCTCAACAGTTTGCAGTTATACTCATACATTTTAAAACTTGCACATAATATAGGATTTAATGATGGGAATTATAAAAAAATACAATATAGAGAGTTGCAGCCAAAAAGATTTTGGCAACTGAATTGTATTTCAAATAATTAAAACTAAATTAAACTTAAAGTCAGGTTGCTATATATTTCGAGCTCAGGGTTTTCTCCTAAGAACCCTCCTATAAAGCTGTGTGTGTGTGTGTGTGTGTGTGGACAATATCTGGTGTCGGGTTTCTCCTTTTTAACTCCATGTTACCATGTCTGCAGGTGAAATCTGACCCTGAGCATCGGATTACCAGCAGACCAAAACACAGCCACAAAACGTTCAGTGTGCACATTTAATTTGGTGTTACAGTTTGGAAAACGTGGATGCTCTTTTGATATGTTTCACTGACAGGAGAATGACTGTTTACATTTGAGATTGTTTTGAAACATGTTGCACAGAGACAGTGTGAAATACATTGCCACTTCCTTTAGATATACTGAACTGGAGTGAGCGAAACCGTTGTATAATGTTTTGCAAAGAGATGACATTGCTGTTGAAAATGGTCGAATGCACTTATTGAAAGTCGCTTTGGATAAAAGTGTCAGCTAAATGCAATGTAATGTAATGAAAAGAGACTTTAACATATAAAATAACAACTTCATGAAAATAAAACTTTTAATTAAAATCCAAGACATGTCGATACCAGTAGCAATAAACAGTTATTTAACCAAAGTAATGCAGTCTCTCACATAAGGATGTGTATTAGATCAAATAGGGTAATAATATTTGTATTATAACAATAGAGATAAAAACAATATGGAAATAAAAGTTATGCATCAAAATAATTGCAATAAAAAAATGTTTAATTTAGTAGGAAAACCTCAACTTTGTTTTATTTAAAGAATAACAAAGTTTAAAAATGACAGATGGATATTCCAAAAATATATTAATTATTACTTCCGGATTGCCCCAACAAATACATACTATTCTATTAATGGTGTATTAGAATATTGCCGTCATTGTATTCCTGTGAATAAACCAACACATGAGAGAAAGGCTTCTCCATGAAAACTGAACAAACTCCACCATGCACGGATGAAGACATGGTTTAAAGCCCCAGAAGAAAAGCAAGTAAGTGGACTCTAGAGTTTTGTTTTATTAGCTGGATAACACGATTAAAATTAGACTAAAAGCAAGTTCTGCAGGATGTAAGATAGCTTTCCATTACACACACACACACACACACACACACACACACCTGTTCAGTTCTCAGCTGTGCATACAAACAAAGAGTGAAGAAACACCATTTATGGCAGCTGCAGCACANGATCCTTCGTTGTGAAGAGTCTGCTTTGTTTGCTCCGCACCACAGCAGTAGCCCCGCTGCGACAGAGTCCAACAGAGAGGCAGGTGCTGCGGGACAGTATCCTAGAAGCAGGGTTGGGTTGTAACGGAATACATGTAACGGCGTTACGTAATCAGAATACAAAAATCATGTAGGCTAACTGGATTCAGCTGGCGTTACATTTGAAAAACGAGTAACCTGATTACAGTTACTTTCGTAAACCTGAAGTGAATACATTTTGGTAATACTTATTGGAATTATTTGTGGAAAAGATTCCTCACAAGATGTAATATTCATTACCGGCAGAACTGTGTGCACACTGCACAGCGCTGCAGCATGTCTGTGAGCGAGAGAGAGATGCAGCGTGTCTGTGAGGCCCCGCCCCCGCACGCAGATGAGAGAGAGAGTCTCTTTTAAAATATATTGAAAGTTAGAAACGGAGATGGATAGATCAAATGTGCAAGATAACGTTTATGTAGCATTTCTTTATTTTCGAAATGAGGACATTTCATAACGGGATAAAATCAAAGTGAATGCCTGCTGCTGCTGAATGCATGGGGCAAGTGACTGGAAAACGTTTTAAAAGTTATTACATCGTTTCAGATAATACATAATAATGATAATTCATTCTATTTAGGGACGCCTTTCAAAGCACCCAAGGACACCTTACAATTCATAACATATTCCGAGGAAAGGTTTTAAGACAGTACAAAGAATGCAGTCCGGGTGATGTTTTTTCATGCGGGGTGCAGATGAGAGAGCTGTCCAGAATGACACCAAGATGTTGTGTTTGAGTTCTTGATAAGCCATTAAAACAGTAAAATAAGTGTCTCCTGTTCACCAAAACATACCCATCTGTTATGGAAAAATAAAGTATTCTAAAAGTAATCTGAATATGTTACTTTTTTAAGACACGTAACTAACTGTATTCTGATTACTTTCAGAGCATGTATTCAGTCAACAACTTCAAAATTCTGGGCTATATAAAAATCGCTGGCCCGCGATAGTGTCTATTGGATACATTTTGGCCCTTGGACAAATGTAGTTGGTGATCCCTGCCATAGAGGATGGTTTGCAAAGGCTCAAATCCCAAAGTTCCTGAACATATGACATCACGATGTAATACTCGCGCTCCTATTGGCTAGCACTCTGACACATGATAGGCTAAGGGGCGGGACATCTTTAAGTGGTTGACCAATCACAAGAGAGCAGTAGCTCAAAAGGAAGTGTTTTGCTTTTTACAATTATTATTCAAATCCCTGTCTTTCCCTTTATTTCAGTGTCAATCTGAAAAGTACTCACCGCACTGATGTTTTTGTTTCATTGGTGTAATATCTGTTATTGTCCATAGTTGTTTTAGCAGTTCCTTTGTTATTAATTGATTGAGGTTAGCAGCCGTTATGAAAATGCAAAAGAAGCTTAGCTGGAAAACTTCCTTCATGTTTTCATGGTCCTCACGTTCAGAAAGTGAAGCTGGATTATCGTCCGTTCGCTGAATCAAATGAAGGTCAATGGTGTTTTATTCATAATAAAATGATCCTGAATTTTATTTGGCATTTGTTTTATTTGTCCTTCTTTCATTTCTCTTTTTCCTCCCCGTAGGATTTATTTATAATAATGTAGACGTTTGTAATGAAAGAGACTAACGGTACTTCCACACGGAAGCTTGCCAGTAGGCACGTCTGGAGCGCGACCAACAACCAATCACATGAATCTCCCGCCCCCGGACACACAAGCACGCAGTTTGATTGGCTAGGCTTGTACTGGCATATGATTTGATTGGCTGGTGCTTCCGTTGACGCTTGGAAAGTTGAAAATGTCTCAACTTTCGAAGCGAGAAACGGAGGCAAAGCGACGAGACGGAACCACAATGCAGTTTGGCAAAGCGTGACGTCACCCCATTCAAAGTGAAGGAGAAGCGTCTGCCGTGTGGACGTACCGTAACACCAATCAGACCCTTTTAAAGTTGTAACACAGCACTTCCACCTTAACCTCAAATAAAACAAAACATTTAGAGAATCGGTTAAAATATTTAAACCATTAACTAAAGCAAAATGTAAAAAAAACATTTGAATATACTTCTTACCTATATATAAGGAAAACGCATATATTAAATAGGCAGACCTAGAGTTAACTAAATGTTCATTCTACGAATATAAACTAATGTAATGCCAGAATAAATAATAAACACATAATGATGTATACAACAAAAGTAATGTTAACTATAAAGTCAACCTGCTGTAGGCAAAAATGCAATGTTAATATAGATCTAGTAATTAAACGTGATTTTGCTGCTGAATTCATAAAAAGGGATCAATAACATGATTGTATTTGTGTGTGATATACAATTATGTTTGACGAAAGTTCAAATGATTTATAAATTCTTAGAGGTATTGCAGCTCCTAAAACATAAAACTAATGTTCTTATCAGTGAAAGAAACGTCCACATTTAAAAACAATGATTATTTAATGAAGCGGCGCGTCACACCCCAAGCTAAACCAATCAGACGCGTCTCATCTCCCACGAGCCAATCACAGCGCATCTGGCAAACGTTCAAATCTGCTCTTGAATAGACGGCAATAAATGTGTTTATCGCACCAAACTAATTTGAAGTCTCTCCTGATTTAATATCTTTGTATTTTAATCTCAACTATAGCCTACAGTATAAACAAATGATGCACTCTAAACAATGAGAGTATTGTGGTGACCACGTATTTAACTACTGGTTCATAATTCAAACTGGGAACTACAGTTGCGGCTATTGTTCCCGCACGGACA